TCTGTTAACCTCTTTTGAACAAATTTGAACTGGCAGAGCATGTTTATACCATAGTAGTGCTTTTTGTTTTATGGCTGCAAAGTTTTGATGTGATATTAGGATTCTTAAAGCTGGATTTATGGTTTTGTCCAACCCCAGCCATAATATGAACTGAAGATCTTGTGTTATTAACAAACATGCTTTGCTTTCTGAGCAAGCTGGAGGTCTCACTCAGTATTACAGGATGAGAGAAAAATTCTACCACCCAGAAACTATCATCCAGTTTGGTGGGAGTGTAAAGATTTGTGTTATACACATTAGAAGAAACATTTTGACAGAAAACATACAGATTCTGCAGTAAAAGCACCCAGAAGGTGTTGCTCTTGTGAGTTTGAAAACTCATACCATTATGAGGATTGATGACAGCACAGGTTCCCAGTGACACTAGTAATAGGCAATCAGTCTCTCTTCAAAACCACACACATGTGGGTCTCAAGTGTCTTTAGCTGATGGCACCTATCCAGCCAGGCACTTCTCCTGGAGCTCCCCCAGCTCCTGTGCTGCCCTGGGGGGCTGTTGGCCACCACCCATTGGGGCATCCCCAAGGCACAAGGGCTTGCCATGTACAGTAGCCTGTGGCTCCTGCTCAAAGGCTTCAAAAATAAGATGCAAGAAGTTCTCTAAATGTAAAGATTTTGCATGTTACTTTTTCAGATGAGTGTAAATGCAACTGCTAGTTTTAAATGCAAACAATAAATCTACTCTGTAAAAACACAATTACTGCTGCCATGGCAGAAATCAGTCATCCCTTTTGAAGGAACGCCTTGAAAATGCCATCATAAAATCCCTGCACGTTATGGATTTCATTAACATTTTACTCCCTTAGGATTCCCAATTGCACAATAACAGGAGTTCTTTAAATTTTAAATACCACAGAAAGGAACAGTTTCACTAAAACCAGATGTGAAACCCTCACATTGGCCTTCTTACTTGTTCTAAGTACTGAAACTGGCCGGTAATTGATACCTATTAACATGTTTGTTGTTCAGATTACAGAAATGGAAACACTATACTATTTTTCCTGTGAAAGGATACATCTATGAAGGACAATGACTTATGTCACAATGGCAGTTCCCTGCTCTTGATTAAATTAAAAGTCTGGTTTTATTTTTTATTTTAAATTATGCTATTTCACACTGAAGGGTAGTTGACTGTGTGAAATGTAAGTGTAATAAACAAGTAGGCTAAGCTTAAGGTTGAGGAGCTATCCAATATGACAATAAACTAACTTCATGCTTATTTTTGGCAGCCCTTCCCTCATGCATATCTTTAGTCCATTCATATTAAAAAATCCACAGACATTATTAATATGTTTTTAAAGAAGAAATTCAATCTGGAGTGACTCTGTTTTTGATTATGGAGCCACTCCAAATCTCAAGTTTGTCGAGCAATTTTCAAAAGTGTGTTTGAGGGTAAAAATAAAATTGAGAAAGTACTGCTTAGACTTATGGTATGAATGTGCTATGGATATTTTGATATTTATTTCCAAACAAATAGTGAAAGGAATGGACAGGCAGCTTTCCCTTAGCAGAGCCTGGTAAGCAGACGGCATTCAGATTAACTCAGGAGTTAGTACCTTGTCAGGCACAAGCAATCTAGTTTTTCCACCAAAGAATGGGTTCCAGGTCCACAGATGGAATTCACGCAAATCCATTACTAACAGCAAGCCAACACTATTTTCCTAATTCTTTTCAGTGAAATGGTCCAAAAGACGTCAACACTTCAAAGGAGACAATCATATCGCGTGCCCTCTAGACGTCCTCTATAGATACCAATCTCCCTTTGCTGATACTTAACTGAGCTTTTCTGTTTCTTTTGTCTTAGCAAAAACATTAACCTTCAAGGAAGGGGTAAAAGGAAGGGAAAGGAGAACTATAATATTTGCTTCATACAAAAAAATTATGCACTAAGGAAATCAGTATTTGGAGCTGAATTTCCAAGCTGCTTTGCCCATGTATGACTGTATGTATCTCATATATATGCCCTAGTTGCACATGCATATTAGCAGTTTGAAGGCAGACAACACTACTTAACCAGCTGCAGTGTGTGTGCAGGTATGGAAACCTGCAATCATAAAAAGATTAATGAATACTGACATACACAAAATCTTTGTCTCTCAGACAAGGGCATATAGGCAGAAATTTTCACTTTAAAAGTTCCAGGTTCAGCAGTGGTGTATACTTCAGACTGTTTTTTTGCTGTTGAGTATTTTCTAGAGTTCCTTCACTGTGCAACAAAAATCCATTTTCACTGTACTGCACAAAAGCAAATACTTCACATAAATGACTAGTTTACAACAGCATACAGAGCAAAACAGAACAAAGTGACCTCTGCCCTTCATGTACAAGTGCCTTCCTCCTTTTATAAAATATTATAATTTTTTATAATGGGTAATTTCAGAGTATTTTATTAGTTGCATGTCCTTGGTGGTTTGTCTGTAAGCTCTTGTGGAGATGAACATCTGTTCCTGGGTATATTTGTAGAGAGGAAACATGGGATTTCAATATTTTATCCAGATACAAACTTGCAACATGTGCTTACTGCCAATGGCATCAAGCCTTTGTAGAAGATGGTGGTTCACATGTGCCAGGACCCTGTCATTGAGGTGCCTAATAGACTGAAGTGCTTAGCATCCATCTCAAGATTGTCAATTAACTTTAACAGGAAAGTGTTCAGAACACACTTGGAAGTATGAATTAGCAATGTCAGTATTGAATTAAACCATAATAAATAAGAATTGATATCCTCCTGACACAAGTGGAACTAAAGATGAGTTAAACTGTTGTACCCTGTAAAAAAGCCAGGGGATGGCCTACTCTATCTCCAAACTAGCTTGGTTGCTTCTGCTACATAGGTTGAGTGGTAGAAGTGATTAACAGTTCTTCTGCAGCATATATAAAGCATGCCTATTCAATGCAGTGAATCTTGAAGCAAGACTTTGTAGGCTCGGTCTTGCAAACAAGACACATTTGTGCAGCAAAGGCTGCTACAACCCAGTTGCTCTGTCATGAAGTTTGCCTTGGGGGTGCCAGTCCTTCCACATGGACTCTGGGCAGTGGTGGAGATGTCCTAGGGCGAGGCTGCTCAGGGCAGTGGTTCATTCTGCCTTTTCCAAAGTAAGTGAGAGCTGTGGCGTGAGCAGTACAGGATACAAATAACCACCAACTTCTTGGCTGATGTGGTAGCTGGAGGCAGCATAAAGCTGCTAAAAATTATGCTCAGTGGTTGTTCCCCTGGTTTTATGACAGAAGACAAAAGAGGCTGAGAAATTCATGGGCAAGGAGACCTGAGGTACCCTGAACTGTTTTAAGCATAAACCCCAGAGTAGCTTGGATTCTGTTATGTGTTTGTTATTAAAAAAGTTAATGGTTAAAAAAAGTCCTTTGAAACTTTTTCTCAGAAAGATCTAGTTCTAAGTGAAAGGATTAAGCTATATATAGATATGTACATAGTTATCATAACTTAATAAAGTTAATAAGCACACAGAACACATGAATGAGATTTGACTAGCTCTCTTGTTTTGATTATCCCATCATAAATGCATAAGTGACAGTAGAAAAGAAGGAAATAAAGAAAAAGTTGTGGCCCTCCAACCAGATGAAACACGTGGAATTTGATTCTGACGCATTCCACTCTTTTTCCATGTGCATTCCATGGATTGCAAGTGGCAATGATTAATAACAAGCCTTGCACTTAGATAAGGCTGGAGAGATTTTAACATTTATTCCTAAGTAAGGAAAAAGCATCAACAGATTTTTTTTTTTTGCCACTCTGAAGTCTGATTAGGTCTATCATACATGATTACCAAGTTGCCAAGGGCTCAGGATGTGTAGGGGCCCCTAAGCAGGACACCTGAGAGTCCCATTGTGTGCAAAGGATCAGAAGTGAAAGATTTCCCCCTCTTTCTTCCCTTTACTAACTACTACTCAACATGTTTTTAAGCTTTCTTGCAGACAGCAAACCTCACAGGAAACACCAATGGGAACATTCGTAAGGACAGCTAATAAGGCATTGTTTTTAGGTGTCAGTTCGTAATTTCCGATAGAAAACAACAGAACCAGGAGGAATGTTTAAAATATATGAACAAGTTTTCAATATTAGCAATATTGATTTAATATGCTTGAGCTTTTCTCTTAGCTTTTGCCAATAGAAATAGAATCTATGTCACAACTAAGAAGGGTAAGTCAACCTACAATTCGGACAAATCAGTGGTTTTTTCACCTAAATATACTAATACTTGCCTGTTAGTATGGATTATTTGTATACAGTAATTCATATGAATAATTTTAACCTGTTCAGGAGTCATGTGCCATTAAGTTATGAACCTGATGACAAATAGCAAACAACAAGCCTAAGTAGACAAACTGAACTGTAGGAATCTCTTCATGGGGTCAAATGTTTGCAAGATTTCTCCTGAATTAACAGAGCAAAGCCAAGGCGGCCAATCTTGCTAATGAATGTTTTGTTTAAGGACATGGAAAAATAGCCACTAGACAAAGATCACTAAACTAATTTTGTATGTAACATATTCTAGAAGGGACATAGGTCTTCTGAGGTGAAATCTGAGTGCATGAAAACACCATGCTGTACTAATGCTTAACTGTAATCAGCTAGAGACATAGCACATGCTCAGTTACTGGAACATTCCACTTTAAGTGCGTGTTAAACTAATATTGACTTTTCCACTAAACCAAAATCTCTGTTATTTGTGCCCAGAAGACTGAAAAAACAATAGATGTGGGAAGCACAAGAATTAATCTTCCTGACCTTTTCTTTTATACCTTTGGGAGTCAATCTTTTTTTGTGTGTCTAATAGGGAATGTGAGCTATTCACTTGCAATGATTCTTAGACTGTGTAGAAGTACTTTACTGTTTTGTTTTTTCTTTCTTTTTGCATTCTCTGCATTCAATAAACTCCACAGAGTATTATTAGCAATATCTTTAAAATGTTATCCTTTTACCTGTATCCATTCTCTGATAGAATCTTCCCCTGGGGTCCATCCGTTCTCAGGATAATTTAGCCGGGACCTTTCTGAAGACCAGATAGCGCTGTACTGGGAGGAGACAGTGATTTGATCAGAGTGAATTTCTCCTGATTCCATACCTAGCGGTTCCATGCACTGGAAATCTGAAGAAAAATAAATTACCATCATTATTATGGTCAGCTTTTTGATTTAGACTTTGAATAATGAGAACGTTTCCCTGCTTTGAATATGAATATCTAAAGAATTTATTTTTGTGTGACTTCTTTGAATTCTTTAGCAACTTTAAGTGAGGCAGTATTGGGCTTATAGTGTCATTTTTGATACTGTCATTCAAGTTGCCATGGCAATTCCTGCAATAATAATGCTATACAAATATTTTTAGCCCAGTATTGTAGCCATTTCAATATAGGACAATGGAATTCTCTTTTCTAGGGTAGTACAGGCACTTCTGTGGATTCATAATATAAAACAACTTATGTTCAACTCATAATTATGCACAAAGCCAGGCAAGACAAACCAGATGACTGTATAAAGTAATTTTATTTTAAAACTCCAGTATAAAAAGTATAAGATGTTTTAAAAACATTATTAAAATTCTAGCCATTCTCCTTTGATCCTGTACACTGGAAAGAAACAGATCAAGATTTGAATCCAGGCCAGAAGAGTATTGACCTAGAGGAATTACCACCTCTTCTGTAACACGCCGTATATTAAATTAATTGATCATCTCCATCCAATCTCTTTTTGTTGACACAAAAATTACCTAGATAATTTAGAATCAATTGCTACTCTAGTCACTATAGTGAGTAGAAAGGCTGATAGGATATGGAGACTAAATTCTTCTCTCATTCTTCAAAAATAAAGGCTCCAGCCGCCACTGAAGCAACAGAGGTTGATGGCTTTAGACAGATCCTCACACCCAGCTGCTCATGCACTCCCCTGTCAGAAGGTTACCAACCCCATCATGAGGGCAGGGGAAAATAATATGTGCCTATGCTTCTGTTCAGGGACTTCATAGTATATAAATATAATTCATCCCTTCATTAGAAGTTTAAGGTAAAATACCAGTGTGTGAACTGGAGGCCCTGACATTTGGGTACACGTTTTTTATCACACCTTCTCTGGATCTGACATATCTCTAACAGAGGGGTGGGTGCTGAGCTGAAGGTTTCAAAATCTGTGAGCTGTAAAAATGAGCTTTTAATAAGCAAAGTTCTGATTTTTCAATGAAAATTAAAATATTGTGAAAAAAAAAATTTAAATCTTTTACCTGGGATCCAAAATCTTCTATTCAGAAACACTATCAGGGTATCTTATAAGATTTGTATTTTGGGTGCCCCATAACTGAATTATCAAATTTGTTGCCAAACTGTATTTCCTGTGGTATACCACCTCTTCCCCCATTTCTGTGCTACTTCAATGTATTAGGGGACTTGGATGAAGTACTGAAGCTGAACTATGTTAGGATAAGACTCAAAGTAAGTGAATTTCTGCTTGGAATCAGAAGGAGAGCTGTAAGCCACTACAAAGAACACAAGACATGGTAGGTGGGAGTCCTATTAAAATACATAAAAAGTAGGTGTTTAGTTTGATCTAGACATGTGGCTTTCCCTGTAGTCTACTGAGTGGGACATGTACCTCCTGGGTACATCTCACGTGTCTGTGATAAGTAGGCTGATTTGTCCTCTGGAGGTGATGCTCTCTGTATTGACAACACAAAGGATAAGGGTGGCTGAAATTAAGCGAGGGGAATCACTCCTCTGTCTAAGCCTGCACCATAGGAAAAGTTTCCTCTTATCATTTAACAGGGTTTTCACACACACTACCTTATCCTGTTCTGTTGTCCTGTGTTTAAGAGCTGAAGGTATCCCAGTGTAGCAAATGTTATGAATTCTGGCTCCAGTGTGATGATGCCTCTAAAGCCTAGGGAGGCTGACTGTGGAGGAGATAAACATGGGGATCCAAGTTGCCTGTGCTAGCTAATGAAGGGGTAGGAACAGCACCTACATGAGGAGAAGCCAAACTAGCTGGAGGTACAATCTGAGAAAAACAGGAAGATGCTTCCCATCAACAGAGGTTGGGTATGTCCCATTCTCTCTTCCTGGCTATGCACATACAAGAAAGCTATTAAAGAGGTAAGGGGCAGAGAAGTGGTGGGGAGTATCAGGGATAATTTCAGTTTACTCCTTTTTCTTTTGTTCCTTCTTTGACTAAACAAGTACAGAAAATCTGGGTGAATCTGCTCAAAACTCAGTAAGTCTCAGAAAGGAGAGAGAGTTTGACTTTAAAGTGTGTGTTTTATCATTGAGCAAAGCAAGGACATCTGCAAGGACATGGTTTAACACAGCCTGTTATTTTCCTGTGTCTCACTCACTTCATTTCATTCTCTGTCCAAAGGGTAAGCATGAAAATGAGGCGACTGGGAAAAAAATACGAGACAGAGAACAAAGCTTAGATAGCTTATGAAATGGTTTAACAAGAGCACATATATTAAATGGGTTCTTTTTATTCAAGAAATCAATCATCAAAGCTTGTTCCATGTAATAAAGGAAAGCTTTGGATAGTGCATTCATTGTTCATATTTCATTGTTTTAATGCAAGTGTTCAATTGCTCTGCATTCCTGTGTTTCCTTGGTCAGCACAGTTTTTCACAATAATTATCCCAACTTCCTGGCAATACTGCAGAATAAAACTGTAAGGAGAATTCTGCTTCTTGCACTGCTTTTCAAAGGGCAGCTGTTCTTTAAGAAAAAAAAAAAAAAAAGAAAAAAGAAAAGCAGAACCAACCCTTCCCCACCATCTTATTTATTTAAGATTTCTTTAAAGTTTCATGCAACATCTGGTGTGCAAGAAGACACAACAGAGAATATTTTCCAAGAAGCTCCGCGGGATAGATAAATACTGACCTTCTGATACACTGCTCTGTGACACGCTGTAGTTTGCTGAGAATCCCTCTTTTGCTATTGCACTGTCGGTGTAAAATACCATTGAAAGAATCCCTGTTGAAGACCGGACACGTCCTGGGTTGTTCTGCCCACAATAACGTCCTATGTGCGGGCCAACTGCAAAGAAACAGGATATAATAGTAAACTTCCAGTTTAACTACAACAATAGATGCCACTACAATAGCCACCTAAAGAGAGTACCTCAGCAGGAAATAGTGAACCTCTACAACAGTTCAAGATCACAATCTCATCAATAACTTAGCGGTGAATAATAAATTACTTATCCTACCCAAGTAATCTGACTTCTAAAATATTCCAGATAGCACTCCATAAACCTCTAAAAATGTAAATAACCAGAATTTCAAAAAGTGTCCTTGAAAGTGTGCAGAGAGGGCAATGATGCACAGAATCACATGTACAATACACCAAAAATATTTTCCAAAGTGATTGAAGCACCTGTTTATGACAAGGACATCTGAACAGCCTGATTTGCCCACACAGTCTACAAGATAATCTGGGGATAGGAGCTCAAATAGCACCTTCCAAGATGTCTGCTCGATACTGCAGATAACCTGTTAATTTTATAGTCAACTTACAAAAACATTTTTGTACTCATACTAAGGCTATAACCAATGACTCTTTATCTCCTCTTATTTAGGCTTTCAGTACACCCTCATGGATCTTTTGCCAATATGCTCAATATTAAAGAATACTGTAAAAGAATTCAAGAGGAAAATCTTAATCCTTTCCAAGAAGCAAGGATTTCTTAAGTATATCTCCATGTCACAGAACACACATACATACATACACACATACATGATCTCTCTCAGTGTTAATAATGTATAAACCAGTTCACGATACTTTTCTAGATTTCCTGTGCAGTGAGGTATTTTTCCTTAATTAAGCTACTCAATTCACAACCAACATATGTGGCCTTCTAGCACTTGAGCATTCCCTACAGATAGGTCCCTAGGCTGTTGAATATTGGCACATCTGTGCTTACAAACAATAAGAAAAGATAATGCTAAAACCCATCCATGGAGTCAATAATGAAAATAATCACAAGACGTCATTTTAATGCTTACACCACTGGCTTTCAGGGCTTAAATTAACACCTCGTCATTTCTCTAGGAAGTCCATTTCACTTTCAGTTTAAAATGTAAAATATTTATATATCCTAATTATTCACAGTTCAAAGAAAATCCTCAGCTAACATAATTTTGTAGTCATTCAGTGGCATTTTCCAACAAGCAAAACAGTTCCAGCTTGGAATAACTTTATTATGTAAGCTACACAATTCTGTAAGGCCCTAGACTTGCCAGAAAGAGGAAGCTCAGATGTTACAGCTTTTGCTGCCAGCATGTACTTTTCTATCCATATTCTGGCCATAGTTAGTCTTCAGTTGCCTTGGCAATCCCATGGCATTTAAAATACCTGCCAGTTCAGCCCTTTTCCACCAGGGTTGTTCAATGCAGGACCGATAGAATGAAACACCCTACAGAGGATATAAGTTGAATTCTTCCTCATCCTAGAAATTGTTAAAGCTTTACAGTTTTATTATTTGGAGTGAGAAAGTTGTTTTAGACTGTTTATATTAGTAGCTTTTCAAAACCACAGAATAATGCCCCAACTACAATTGCTCCAGGGTTTTGGGTTTTTGTTTTGTTTTGTTTTGTTTTGTTTTTTTTCCTTTTGCATTTTCTATGTGCAAACAGCTCTGATCCTCCACTTCCCTGTAATGGCCTTTCAATGTTATAGCTGCTCATGTTGCTCTGAACTCCAAGAAAATAAGGAGGATAAGGCCACCATGTTATGGCACTCTGAGCCTCCCTCCTCCCATTTCCTGTAGGGAAGCTTCTTTGAAATGACAGACAGAAGAGAACTTTGTTTAAGGCAGACAGGCTTTAAGATTCCCCATGACTCACTGGTTTATAATTTTTAAGACATATTTAGTGATTCTGCATTTCAGTCTCCTGCAGATTGGCCCTGCTACCACAGTACTATGTAGCTATAGTAGCCCTTTGCTAACTATGTAGATGCAAGAAACAAAACCTTTCAGAATGACATAAAAAGGTATTGAATTTTTTGGCACAACATGTAAACCTTAGCCTCCTGAGCTAATATGGTATTGATCTGAGCAGAACGGGAAACACAACGTTAACCTTTTTTCCACTCAAGTACTGAAAACTTTTGAATGACAATGAATTATCAAATGTTTCAGGTGTCACCACATCAAATAAATGCTGTGTGGGGAACACAATCTGAGCAATGACTCAGGGGAAGCTGCTCTTGTCTGCTTAGGCAGACTATGCCACTGCTTTTATTTACCAACTTCCTGACCCTTCCTTATGGACTGAGGTGGGCTTTCATAATACACCATATACAGTTCCAAATGGGAATTTTAGGGTGGTAGGTGTTGAGAAGGCATTAGGCCCAGAAAGCTCTTTGCAGCCTCTACCTATAGACCATCACGTCACTTTGTCAGTATGCCCTAGGAAAGATTAATCAGAATATGAGACACACAGTCCTCGCTTGAGGGCACTGCTACATTACCTGCAGAACAGAGGCATTTCAGTGAGCCAGCTACTTCACTTGACTGCCCATGTTGTAGCTGTTTCTGGGATCTTGGCTCCACTTTCCACTGGCATAGTACGATACAGTGGAAAACTGAGTAAATTTCAGGTTAAAAGATGGAGGAACAATTCAGAAACTTCTTTTGCAAGCTTTTCCCAAAATGCAGAGTCTAATTCTAGAACTTGAATAAATCCTTGATTATTCTTAATACATATTTTTGAAGGTTTACAGGATCTGAGTGTGGAATGTATAGAATACGGCTCGTGGTTTAAGACTAAACAGAAATCTTATCATTACCAATTCTTCTTCTCTTTTCTACCATTCGGCCTTCTGGCCAAAGAATATCTGCATCAGGAAATTCTGAGACTTATTGAAATACACACTTGTCCACCTGGTTGAAATCTTAGCTTTTGGAATTCAGTTTAAAAAATCCAATGAACACACAAGCAAGGAAAAATGGTCTATCAGGCTTCTAAAATATTAAAAGAAAAATTATGTTAACTAGCCATTTTGCTGAATTTTAAAGCTTGTCTTTCAAATTCTGCTGGTGTGCTGTGAACAGTATTTTCACATCAGTGTCATTCTTATTGACAAAAAATCTGCACACAGTTTAGGATGCTAAAGAGAAAAGAACTGAAAAATTAATCTCGTCCTTGCAGTCCAGTAGTCACTTACACTGAGCTTGTGTGTACTCTTACATCTTAATAGCTTCTCACAAGAGTGTAGAAAGCAACCACAACAGAGGAGAAACACACCTAGATTAATAGCAACCTTAATTTACACTGATGTTAATGACTGAAATAAAGCGTTCTGTTTTGCTCAGTAATTCAGTGGAAGCTCTTGTGGTATTGACTGAAGCAGCAATGCTTAGCCTGTGGTTCTCAAACCATATGTAAAATTCTTTAAATTACTTTTGAGCCCTAGTAGACAGTCTATAGAGCTTCAAAGTGAGCAGCATGATGAATATGTGTAATTCATCACTTAAGCTAGTCCTGGTTTTGAGTGGACTATTTTTCTTCAAAGTCATCAATGGACTGTTCTCAGATAAGGCTGGCTGAGGTATATTTGTGCCTTGGGCAAAGACATTTTTGGTGTCTAGTTTATTCATGCAAAATCATATATTTCTCTTCTGTGATCTACTCACTCTTCTGCTCTAACTCCATCTATTATCTCCTTCAAACCATGGTCCCTTTTCTGCACACTATTTGCAACATGCACCTGTGGTTCCTGAATATTATCCATAAGGGTTTGTTTCACTTATTGCTTAGTTTTAAAGATGAGAACAAAGGGTGCCCTTGGCATGCATTTATGTAGAAACAAAATTCCAGATTTGAGGC